ATAATTGTTAATAAAGTATTTTTAAAATTAAATAATAATAATAACAATTATTGTTTAAATTAAATATATATGTATTTATTAGGCTAATTTGAAATTTTCATGAAAATTAATGAGTTGATTGAGAGTTTTCAAAATAAATCAAGGTTATATTAGTCAATCATTATAATTACCAGAGGTTCCCATACAACATAAGGGTTACATTAGTTAAATTATTATAGAATTACCAAGTTATTTTTTTAATATTTTTGAAATGTCTGAACCTGTAATTATTATTTAGAATAATATTATTCTTTATCCTTCAGCTATCTCAGTTGACATTGAATTTAATAACCACGAAATCACCATATAATCCACCTTTTTCCATTTCTTAAAATCATCTGATTCCTGAGGAGGTAGAAGAGTACCGTTGACGAAATCGAGCTTGTTTTTCGCGCCTAGTGCGATGAGAACAGCTCGCTTCCATGGTAGGAAGTTGTTACCATTCAGCTGGATCAACACCAGATTCATCCCAAAATGATCGGAGCTTTGAAGATGCATCAGATCGTCATGCGATAGAACAATCTCTCCGCCATTCGAATTGTCGCGTCGCGCCGCGCCGCGCCATGGAAAGGAGCGATCAAAGCTTCGTCAAATCAAGCTCTGATACCATGAACAAATTGCAGAGAAAACGGAGAAGATATTTTTGGGTAGAAAAATTCTCCTTCTGTGTCTTTTTTTCATTAATAAAACTCAACGGTCAAATTACAAAAGAAAAGTTATTTATACTAACTAAAAACGAGAAACACGACTTAGCAAGAAAACAGAAAAGAAAACATATTAAGACTAACAACTACTAAAGCTAACTAATAAAATGTTATACTAACTATCTCAACTACTATGTTGGTTGCTTTTGCCCTTAAACTAGGCTGGATTTACAATATATTTGTTTCACAAATCTGTCAACTCTAAGCAAGCACGAGTATTCACATGAGAGCAACGTGGTCACAAATCCAGTCCATTGAAATTATAAGTTTATATTGAAATGATGTGTTATAATGCCTTGTTCTATCATTAAAATCTTGGATTGTCAAGCCCTTTAATTAGTTAGTTTGGTACTTTTTATGGTTATTATGTTAGTGTTGACGCATGAGACTTCTTTATTTGCAATTCAGGTTACGAGCAGAAATCAAGGATCTGCAATTCAGGGTATGAAAATATTTAGTATATACCATCTCTACTAATTTGATCTTATGTGGTGGCTCAACGATTAGACCTTTAAACATTTGGATCCTTGTATTTGCAGTCTCTTCGACTCGAATGCACATTTGC